CAGACAGGTTTTTATAGAAATGGATCAGGACAAAAAGAGAGAGAATCTTTGTTCCTGAAACTTTCAGAGTCTCTTTACACAGAGGGGACACATGTTGATAGAAGAGACATGAAGAAGAGAGGACACATGTTGATGTAGAAGAGACATGAAGAAGAGGGGACACATGTTGATGTAGAAGAGACATGAAGAAGAGGGGACACATGTTGATGTAGAAGAGACATGAAGGAGAGGGGACACATGTTGATTAGACATGGAGAAGAGGGGACACATGTTGATGTAGAAGAGACATGAAGAAGAGGGGACACATGTTGATGTAGAAGAGACATGAAGAAGAGGGGACACATGTTGATGTAGAAGAGACATGAAGAAGAGGGGACACATGTTGATGTAGAAGAGACATGAAGGAGAGGGGACACATGTTGATGTAGAAAAGACATGAAGAAGTGGATTTGCATAATAGGTGACCTTTAAGATTTCTACTATGCTCTTCGTTTAAAGTGGATAAGGGTGAAATCTGTATATAGACTGTATGTATATATAAAAAAACACCCAGATCCTGACCTTCCTCTGTGGATCCAGCAGCATGTCGAAGGTAGATCCAGTCTGCTCCCTCCACACCTGAGCTCCCTGCAAACCACCGAAAGCAACGACCACGACCCGCACTGACCGAGCCTCCAGGACAGCCTGCAGCCACAGCATCAAAAACATGTATATTTGGCTTTTAAAGGATCTGTTATTCTCCCTTTTCCACATTTCTGTGTAACTGCAAGTCATTTATTTGTAGGAAAGTTAATGGGTCGTGGCTGCAATGCCTTGGGAAAATGTTGGAACCTTTTGAAGCCAGAAAAAACACTTAAGGAATGCATTTGTTTAAAGGAATATTTCAAAATATATGGAAATGAATGGGCAGATATTGATTGTATATATGGGCAGATAAATCCTTACGAAGTTTGGGGATTTCTTTTGTATTTGTTTTGAAAACGATTCAATGGTTTGTTTAAAGACAGTGACACCTGGTGGCTTCGAACGGTAACGCAGATCTTCAAGAGTGGCCAAAGCACTAAAACACTTCTCTGATTTTAATAGTTTTATTCTTGTGTTTAATAAAAATCTAAATATATATAAAATACTATGGTTTCAAGATGTGACATTACACATATGTTGATAGAGATTGCTAACTTATTTCATTTCACTTTGGATAAGAGCATCGGCTAAATTAAATGGAATAATAATGATATAATTGTTTGTATTCGTTTTTGTTAAACGGCAAGAAGGGGAAAGGTAGGAGGAGGTGGTCTTTATTTTTCTAAATTTAAATTTGTATAATTTGTGTGTTTGTGCCATCTTGTAAAGACAACTTGAAAATATACGTGTTTTCTTTACCAGTCTGTCCTTCAGCTCGGCCACGTGGTCTCGTCACGGCAGTCATCCGTAATGTCTGATGAGAACCAGCAGAGTCTTCTCCCCCCGACCCAGGAACTGACCCAGAGTCACACTCCTGAGAACAACACAAAGAAAACGTTCTATTGAAAACGTCAATATGGCCACGAGGATGGTTTGAATGTGTCTTCTTCAGTGCTTTCAACAAGAAGCCCCTCAAAGACCCTCAATTCTGGCTGTGTATGTCATCTTTGCTGTGATTTTTTATATTTTCCTGACCCCAGCACCATAGGACAAGAAACTTAACCCACCAATATTTTCTTTTAAAGTTACCACTATCTGCAGGAATCTGATGAACTGATGTTTTCAGAGAGAAAGTGGCTTTTCAGGGAATTTGTAAATGTAGTGCACACTGGGTATTTGTTTAAACAGATGTCTTCCTTGCTGTGTAAGGGGAATGATGCCTCCTGCTGTTTATGACATTGCATTGCACGTTTTAGACTGATGAGCAAAATGGGCCTTTTATATAGTGAGTAATTTCAAAAAATGAATTATTTTTACTTACATTTTATTTATTTTTAAACGTCAATATGGCATGTATTTAATCTAGACATATAACAGTGTTTCAGTATTAACAATAAGAGGCGATAAGAGCATCAACAACAGAGAGGTTCAGTTTGTGAACTCACTCTCCGCTGCGCCCGTCAGTGAAGGCCGTATCGGGGCTCAGGCTGGCGGCCATCTTTCCTCCTGACAGCTGTCTGTCTGTCGTCTGCAGGTCTCTGTCCACGCTCTCCAGGAAGGAGTCCCACTCTGACTGCGCACGCACACACGCAGGCACACACACGGGTTATCACACAAACACACATGTTATCACACACACACGGGTTATCACACACACAAACATACACAGGTTATCACACACACACACCGGTTATAGCCAGATAAATACCAGTATGTCATTCGTACTGATAACAATACTAACTAATAACAAGTCACACTGTATCTTTTTTTGCATTTGAATAAATACAAAACAATGCAACTACTTTGCACACTTGTCTTATGTATTCAATATCCTACGTTAATATTTTAGCACTTGGTATATCTATAGTTTATTCTAACTTATTTCTTTAGATTTTATTCCAAAGATATTCAGATGTTGATATGTATATACTTAGTGTTTATTTTCTATGTATTTCTTGCTGTACAATCCATCTATTCATTTATATGTGTCGATGTATCTTGTTTATAAAATAATAATTAGTACATGCAGTTAAAACTGGGTCTATGAATCTGATTGTAACCTGATGAATATAGTACATAATATGCACAATACTGTATATATTTAAAGTGGACCTATCATGCTATATTTGAATAATATATTGTAGGGCCATACCTTTATAAAACATGTCTTTTCAAAATACCAAACAGATCATGCATTTTAGCCATGCCTCATTTCGCTCTA